AGTCTTATGACATGTAGTGTGTAATTTGACCTTTTCAGGTCATAAAAGTCTTAAAAATTGTTTACCCAAAAAAGTCTCAAAAATTATAATTACAAAAAATTTTTTTAAGATACTATAAGAATAATTATTTGTAAATATTAAAAAAGAAATCAGACTTATTTATTACATATGATAAATAATTAGATATTTATAATATATATATATATATATTAAAGACAATAAAATTCTAAAAAGGAAAGCAAGGGAGGAAAGGGGAGAGAGAGAGAAGACGAACGCAAGCAATAAAAGTAATAAAGAATAAGGATAAAAAGATGTAAGCCCTATTTGATTATTAAAAAGAATACAATGAATTGAAAAAATAAATATGAAAATGAATTAAATAACCTTTTTTTACATAATAAATATGATAAAATTCATTAATATATATTATAATGTGAGCAGTAATCGCACCATCCAAAATTTATCATGAATTATAATTTTCAACCATATAAATTAAATTACTCATCTTCTTATAAATTTGGTTCACTATCTCTTTTAATCATCTCATTTTTATCTTTATTCTTTCAATTCATTTCATTTCTTTCTAATAACCAAACTGAACCATAATTCATAGTTGATTCCATTAGAGCAAATCAAAACTTTCGGGGGTCATACTGTGGTTACCCCCAATGCATATAGTATATAACTATTATCTGAGCTTGTCAAATAGGAAACTGCTTTACAACACCAAGCTTTCTTCAGGAGCTGCACATAAATTAGTGGGAGAACTATATGTTCAAGAATGACGAACCCATGAGTATTTCAAGGATATAAACACACATCAAGTTGAAATGAGACTGAAATAGACAAATTTAACCTTAACTCTTCATTTCTCTTCAATCTTATCAAGTTTTAAGTATTACATAATATGCCTTACATAGGACAACTATCAAGATTCCAGCAATGACGTGTGTATCACGTTATCTACATGGCTTCCGTCTGCAAGATATGTGGTTCATACTCAAGGGGGCTTAAGAATATGTGAGTCTTTCAAAAACATGAAAATTTGCTTTCTGCTGTTATCACTGCATCATGAGAAACCAATCCAACTTCTCTAAACAACCCATAAAGGTAAATTTCTACTTAACTCCATAAGCTAAAGCAGGTAACTGGTTTTTGACGAGGTAGAACCAAGAAATGGTACATTTGGTTTCACTGTTCCCATTTATACCTAAATTTTCTCATCCTTCAAAAGTCATTGACTTTCAGTTTCTTGTCATCTTTGATGGAAACCAAGAGTTAACTCTCTTTGCTTTCCCCATGAGCCAACATCCAAATATCAAAATAATATAGATCATAAACATGTGAAGGCCGACTTTGAGAATGTATCATATATTTTAATGCATGTTAAAAAGATCCTTCCGGATAAGTTCAAATGGTTCCTAACTTTTCTTCTATCAAGAGCCATTTCCACCCTTGTAAGTGATTATTGTTAGACAGAAAAACATATCTTCATTTCACCTTAATTTAGCAAGTTTGATGGGAGAAAATCTCATAGCAGATCTTCAACTGGACCAATATCATTTTAAGTATATAAGGAGTTCTCACTATACGAGGCAGTGACAAAGTACAGGCTCTTATCCCCAGAATGTCTAGCGACTAGGGCCCACAGGGTTGAAGTTGTTGAGAGGCAATAGGCATAAAGTGTCTCTGAGGTACCTAAGGGTGTCACGACGTGAAGCTAACCCCGTTGGTATCAGAGCCACTATAGTTATAAGTCCTCACCTAAAGAGGCAACTAGATCTATGGAGAGTTCTTGCTGTATGAGGCAGTGATGAAGTACAGGCTCTTATCCCTAGGATGTCCCGTGGCTAGGGCCCATAGGGTTGAAGTTACCAAGAGGCAACGGGCATAAAAAGTGTCTCTAAGGTACCTAAGGGTGTGTCACGGCACGAAGCTAACCCACCCCCTTGTTAGTTCTCTAACAAATACTAAATATTAAAGAATCAAGCTTATAGGGAGAGAGAGGCTTTAGAGAGACATAGTTGAAGAGCACATAAGTTTTCATTGCCAAACAAATTCTGCCTTACAAGAAAACTGAAACCTCCTTATATAGACATAGTCTGAAGGATTAGGGTAAACAGTGCATGATTACAAGCAAATAAACTTTTTCACACACCTGGTTATAAAGGCAAAGCAAAAGTAAAAGTAGGAAGATATGGCTAAAAACAAACTGTTTTGTCTAAACCTTTTAGCAAAATAACTACAAAACAAACACTTTAAAGAAGATATGACTAAAAATAGATTCCTTCTATGATTAGCACAAGTTTTATGGATACACTTCTAATTATATAACAAGCTGAGCCAATATTTTTCTTCCTTTCGATGTCTTCTAACTGTAAGGTTGTCACACATGAGTTGTTCTAGCTATTCATCATCAAAGTCTTGATCCATATTATAAGTGAGTCTCAGTGTTGGTGTGTCCTTTAGCTCTGGGAATAGCTGATAAAAACTTATACTAATGAAAACTTATCAAAACCTCAAGTACAATAGTTTTTGAATAGTCAATTATATCAGATACTTTATTCTTTAAGTATCTTATCACATCTGCTAACTGTCCAAACTCTTGAGAAAAAAATCTACCTCCTTAGGATCCCAACCAAACAAAGGCTGTCCAACACTTAAAGCAAATTTGTCAACATCCTCCTTCACTCAAAATCCCTGACAAAGGACAGCGCATCTCACAGACTGATGCTAGTGATGACTTTTAAGGAGCTTTACTTCTTGAAGTAGATGGGAAAGGCATTATTGTGGTCATGCCAATGGAGAATTCAAACCCTCAGAAAAGCATTACCATATAGCTTATAAAGAAATCCTAGCTGTGAAACATGACATTGAAAAATTTAACTTTCCTCTTAGCCTTTATCACTTTGTAGTAAAAATGGATAACATATCATTTCTAAAGATCTTAAATCAAAATAGGAAGTTTCTCCTTGAAGCTCAACTCCTTCAATGGAAAAAATGGTTTGTTTGTTATAAATTCATAGTCTGACACATCAAAGGAAACCACAATACCATGGCAGACTATCTAACCAAACCCCAAAAGAAAATCAATCTCATCACTCTTCCAAAAAAGCTACCCTCTTTATCCTGAACATCATGCCTAATAATTTAGTTTTTCCACCAGGACCACTGTCTTAGAAGTTCAAAAGCTAGCCAAAAGTCAATTTTACTGGCTCCACCTCCTTTAAAAGACCCACATCCAACCCCAACTTGAATACTTTTGTCTTCAAGCTCCTTACCTTGCAGTCCCTTTTATTAGAGGTCATATACCAAATGAACTCACATGGTACATTTGCTCTTTATCCTCTCTTTATATCTATGTTATAGCTGTTCCTCCCCTGGAGATGTTTCATTATCTGTATGACTCAGCTCATGAAGGTTCAAACCTATGAAAACTCCTTAAATGGTTTGCACCTATTTCCAGATGGCATAAGGAACTCTTTTGAGTAGTTCAAAAGAGTTGCTATGGAAAATCCCTCTATAGGAATAAAAGGCCTACTCCTTTTTCGTGATTCATCATCCTTATCATTTTACAATAAAGGAAAGCTTTATGTGGCTAACCAAGCATACCAATGGAAAACCACTACTAATTGGATAACACATGAAAATTCCACTTTAATTGAATTAAAAGATTTTCCATGTGAAATGAATAATTATCTAGTTCCAAAATCTAATCTTGAGTGCACATCTCTCAATCCAATCTCTCATCAACCTATTCTTCCAAGTGACCCATCTCCATCTGTTCAATATGAATTTCCTGAATGGCTCACAAGCCTTATTGTACAAACAAAATACTCCACCTGAATAGAATCCTATGATGGAGCACCGTCATCCACACTTCTATCATTTCCACCAGACAGTCAGGACCCATACAAGATAGAAACCCAAACTTATTAGCTATTCTCAGAGCTAAAAGACACTAGCACCAAGACCCATTCAAGATATGGATCAAGACTTTGATGATAAACAGCTAGACTAACTCATGCGTGACAGCCTTACAGCTAGAAGATGCTGAAAGGAAGAAAAATGTTGGCTTAACCTGTAATATAACCATAAGTGCATCCACAAAAACTTGCGCTAATCGTGGAAGAAGTCTACTTTTAGTCATATCTTTTTTTAAATGTTTGTCTTGTAATTATTTTGTCAAAAGTCACTTTTGACTTTTAGACAAAGCAATTTGCTTTTAGTCATGTCGTCCTACTTTACTTTTGCTTTTACTTTGTAATCAAGCATGTGAAAAAAATTTGTCTACTTGTAATCATACACCATCTATCTAATCCTCCACACAATATCTATTTAAGGAGGTTTCAAGTTTCTTGTAAGGCAGAACTAGTTTGGCAATAAAACTTGTGTGTTTTTCAATTAGGTCTCTCTAAAGTCTTACTCTCTTGAAAGCTTGATTATTTAATATCTTGTATCTGTCATATTAAGATTCAAGCATGCTTTGCACTTGCCTCTCTAAAGAACCTATGCACCAAAAAGAATCTGACGACATGTATGTGAGCCCATACACTGCGCTTAGAGATCTATGGGTTAAAGTCTTAAAGGGTTGAGGACCTTAATGTGACCCAAGTTTGCCCAAAAGAGGCGTTGAGGAACCTTACCTGGATCAATATACCCCTATAGCACTGAGACACAAGAATCTTTGGGATTAGGCGTATATAGCATTAAGACACAAGGATCCCTAAGACTAGGCACAATGAGTGAGTTCCGCTCGTTTGTTGAATATCATTCAAAAGTCAGATAGTTAGACCTAGTAAATATTGTAACCAAATTCAAATTAATTTCTCATTGTTAGTGAAAAACTGAACCTTCTTCACCATAAGTTTGACACTTAGGATATCTATCAGAAAGTCCTTGCATCATAAAAATAGTGAGATATGAAACTTTAAAACTTTTCGGTAAAAAAAAAAAAAAAAAACCTTTAAAACTTCAAAGACCATAGTATAATTCCACTGTTAACCAAAAAAAAATTGTGTCATTTCACTATATTCCTGAAAAAGCCCAGAAGGAATGGAAATCTGTCACCAATTAAATCAAAGAGGGGGAAAGTAGTGGAAATTTCACTAGACTGATGCATAAACCTCGTGGCAAATGAGGTATAGTGTCAACTGTAATGTTCAGGCTTCAAGACACCAATATAAGGCAAGTTCCTATACAGTTCGGCAAAATCCAACCCATAGCCAACGATAAAATAGTCCGGGCACTGCAGAAAAGGAGAAATTAATGGAATGATTCAGTAGTAGATAGGACAATTAGGAATTTCAAAGTATGCAGGAAAAACCTTCAATTCAAAAAAAAAAACACAGTATGCAGGAAAAACTAGGATCGTCAGACCTCAAGATCTGAACAGCAAATTTAAAAGAGTACCTATGGTCTCAAAGCTTTTTTTTTTTTTTTTTTTGCTAGAAAAGTGCATTAAGCGGGTTAATAAATGTTTGTTGAGCCTAAGCCCAAGTCCTTGATTGTGTGTCAGCCGATGAGCTTAGCTCAGCTTTAGCTCATTAGTTTGGTTCACTCATTATATATGCGCACACATGTACTCAACATATGATTGAACAGAGAATACAGAGCATTTCAGAGTTCAATACTCTGACAAGGTATCAGCTAGGAAGAGGAAAAATACATCTACAGAAGAAAACTTGAAAATTACATTGATTATAAGGAAATGAAAAACTCATTCATAAAATACCACATTTCCAATAAGGTAAAGGCATGAAGCATACAGAGAAAATAAATACTTTGAGTGATATTAAGTAGTTATTTGTCAGAATACTATACCTCAAATCCCCTGTAGAGTTTCCCCTGGCCAACTGGCTGAATTTCAACCTTTCTCCTTGCTGGTTTATCAAGGAAAGTACACACAGAGACAGAGGATGCTCCTTTTGCTTTCAAGAGAGCAATTATGCTAGATATAGTATGCCCCGTATCTACAATGTCCTCAACCTAATTAACAGTACCAATTTCATAAGAAAATGGAATTGAAAACGTAAGGAGAAGGGAATGGGGGGGTTAAATTAATGAACAAACTAAAGGTATAATTGCTGCAGAAAAGGGAAGCAACTATTTTCTTGTGCAAAAAATTGGTCTCAGCCTAGTCACATTGCTTTACATGATTCAGAAGAATAAAACCTGTGGTAGTATTATCCAATATCACTTCGCTGCATAGAGATAATTATTAGATAAGACAATAATTATATATATATATATTTAGGGTCAAGGATTAGAATTATTTTATAGCTTACAAATTTTATGATTTCAGTAATTTTGATATTACTCCTTTTGGGATAAGAGTGATGCTACAACTACAGATGGGAACCACTTATGCCACCAACTGAATCGTAAGACGAAACAAAATAAACCGTTTTCTGTATCTACCAAGATGCAGCAACAGACACAGGAAAGGTTAGCCTTTTTAATTATGTAGACGTTATAACGATGATTTTCTTACTTATTCTTCAGATAAAGAACCTAGTAATATTCCAGCTGTTATTTTGAATTAACTAGCCAAATGACGCTAACTATCCTCAATATCTTTCGCTACTACAAAAGTACTGGGTTACTTTCTGTGAATTTTGTCCCGTTCAATTTCAATGGCAAATGACGGTCCATGCTGGGAAAATAAGTAAATTATAGGACGCCCGGAACATAAACTTGTAATTCTGAAAACAATACTAATTTACCGAAGCAACGTACAAGCGGACTGTTAAGAATCTAATCTATAGTTTACTATTTAGTATTTACAAACCATACGAACGTTTTTTTTTTTTTTTAATCAGGTCAACATATTCTTCGGTGTCAAAAACACGTTTATTAACTAAACGGTAAGAGAGCAAAAATACCAGAAGTACAGGGCGCCCTTGGACGTTAACCTTCAAATCAGAGGAAATGACGGGTGCTTCATTGGAGCAGGTTCCAGAACCGTAGGACTGAGCTCGAACGAAATCGAGGGAAATGGGAAGGTCGATTTTACGAACAAGGTCAGCGAAAAACAGGAAGGCGCCGATGGCCACGCCGACAAAAACGGGCGGGGTAGAAGAGGAACGGAACTCGTCGGTGATTTCGGCGGCGAGCTCGGAGACTCGGCGGGAGATTTGGTCCTCATTCCATAGGATTTTCTCTATGCGGCTATCCAACGCCATCGAGAGCTGGGATCTTCGTGCGTGTATGGATAGCCATATTAATCGATTTTTTGAGGAAAAAAATCGATTTTGGCTTCAATTACCCAAACACCAGTTTTTTTGGTTAATCGATTTGTGGGGTGAAAATCGATTTTTTTCCGAAGCTGCCAATCCAAGCTTTCGCGGAAAAGTTTATGAAAAAAGCGTTGGAAAAAATTACAATAAAAGCCCACAAAAAAATTACAAGTAAAGCATACAATTTAATAAAAATAAAATCAAACTCTCTTCTCTTCTCTTTTTTTTTTCTTAATAAAATTCAAACTTTGTATCTTTAAAAAATTAATGTTTGGTATTTAATAATTAAATTATATAATAATTTATATAGTTAAAATTGATTTTGATTAAATTATCCAAATATTTTCAATTTTATTAAAATCAATTTTAAAAAAATAGTATCCAAACAGATTGTGTTATAACATAATCAATTATAATTAAAATTTATCACTTAATCAATTATTTTCATAATCTATCATGTCCAACTAAAATTCAAACAGGCACGAAGTCGCTTTCGCCCGACGCCGCTCGCACCCAAAAAGGCATGAGCGAGAAGGGGCCTTGCTCATCTCTTAGATGAGCAGGGCGGTGCTCATCCAAGAGATGAGATCTAGATCATTTAAACTTTAATCTGGACGGTCTAGATTTAAAATATTATTTTATATTAATTTATTAAAATAAAAAAATTATAAAATAATTTTAGTAAATTTTTTATTTTTAATCCTATCTAGATTTAATTTATGAGATCTAATTTAATATTAAAATTTTTATAATTGAATATTTTAAATTTTTCATATATACTTTGTGCAGTCTAGATATTATATCTGAATTGTTGGACTATGTAAAGTTCATGTGAATAATTAACATACATCAATTGTAAAAATTTTAATATTAAATTAAACCCTCTAAATTAAATCTAGATCAAATAAAAAATTTATTAGAATTATTTTATAATTTTTATAATTTTTTATTTTAATAAATTAACATAAATAATATTTTAAATCTGAACAGTCCAGATCTCATATTTTGGATAAGCACGCATGTTCATCCAAGAAATGAGTAGGGAAACTGTTCCCAAGCGAGAAGGGCATACAAGTTATAGCCATACCGTACGAGTAGGAGTGTGACTGGGATAAGATATATGACCTTGTTTGGCAACATATTCTAAAAGCAGTTTTTTATTTTTAAAAATAAAAAAATTAGTTGATAACATTAAAAAAATTTAAAAGGTCAAATATTATTTAAAAAAATAAAAAAAAAACAGAAACATTTTTTAGGTGTTATGAGTTTATTGTAAGAGAGAATATGAAAAATACTTGTTTTTATTTTTATTTTTGTGTTGTCAGAACATATTATATAAAATACTTGTTCTTATAACAATAAAACAAATGACAAAATCAGCTTCAAAGAAGCCCTATATTTCTTTAATTTTTTTTGTAAGGGTGATAAATATATGGTTTGATTAGGTTTTGGTCAAAACATGAATCAAACCAAATCAATCGAACGGCATTAGAGCAATTTTATACTTCAAAGATAAAGTAGCGACAATATCGTTGTGACTTAGGAAGTTATCCACTCTATGAAGAGCATGAAGAAGAAGAAGAAAGGATACTTAACATTGAAAGTTGAACCTAGAGAAAGCATATGATAGATTAGATTAGAACTTCAAGGACATTTTGTACAAATTGATCATGAATTGCATTAGCACAGCTAATTTTAGAGCCCTTTAGAATGGAGAACCATATAATGTTTTCTACCCTTCTGGTGGTCTCAAGCAAGGGGATTCCATGTCTCCTTACCTTTTTACCCTCTATATGGAGAAACTTAATCATATGATTCTGGATGAAATTTATGGAAAAAGATGGCAGCCTATTAGACTTATGAAGGAGGGACTTGATATAATGCATATCTTTTTTGCTAATGATCTTGTACTATTTGGGGAGGCATCTAAGCAACAAATTGAAGTGATTGATGAGTGTTTGCAAAAGTTCTACTATTATTAGGGGTAGAAGATGAATAGAAATAAAACACATTTGTGCTGTTTCAAAAATGTTCATATCAACAGAGCCTTGAATCTTAGTGGAAAACTCCAAATGCAGCTAATGGGTGACTTGGGGAAATACGTAGGAATCCTTCTCATTCATTAGAGAGCTTCCAACAATTTGTTTGCTCCTATTATTGATAAAGCTAAGAATCAAATGTCAGGCTAGAAAAGAAAATTTCTTATAATAGCAAGAAGGTTAGCTCTTATCAAATTTGTAATTACTGTGATGCCCAGCTACTATATTTAGGCAATGATCCTGTTGAAGAGACTTATTGTTGAGATAGAAAAGGAATGCTAGGACTTTCTTTAGGGAGATAATTGGGATAGTAGAAAAGCCCATCTTGTAGGATAGAGGGATGTGATCCTAAATAAGACTTAGCAATACAAAATAAAGCTTTGGTTTTTAAGCTATGCTAGAAACTTCTTATTAATTCCAAATCCTTATGGGTGCAGATGTTGAAGCCCAAATGTAAGTGTGGGAATACAATCATACCTGAGGTTGATAAGAAAACAAGTGCCTCATTAACTTAGAGAAGCATTGTTAATTGCTAGGAGCAATTTGTGCAGGGATTAGGGAAATGGATTGGAAATGGTTGAACCACTAATTTCTAGATAGACCTATGGGTTTTTTTTTTCATGATGTACCTCTAGCTCATAATGCTTTATCAAATAACTTTGATGCTAATAGCAAAGTGGTTGACTTTGTTAATAGTAAGGGAGAGTGGGATATTACCAAAATGAGAGCTTGGTTGCCTAACCATATCATTAGTCATTTAACTTGCACTCTATTATCAAAATACACCTATGGCTAATTGCAAAAGGAAAACTACATATAGCAGCAATGAGAGCTAGCCAAGGTTTTTAAAAGTCAAATACTTGCTTGCTTGATTGTAATGAGAAGGAGGATAGCATGCACATCTTGCATGATTGCCCTTATGTGAAGGCTACGTAGAAAACAATAGTTAATCTGTAGCTTTAGGATATGTTTAGAAGGCCTTATGGGTGAGAATTGGATCTTATGGAATATAAAAAACAATGTTGGTAATTCTCTTGTTAAAACTATTTCATGGGATGTGTTGTTTATATATAGGTGCTAGGAGATTTGGTGTTATCGTTGCTTTTTAGCTTTCTCTGAATTTGAACAAGAGAAAATGTTTTGTATAGCAAGCACCTTATTTCGTGTGTCTCAAGACCTTAAATGAGTGGTAAATTATAAGGATTGGGCAGGAATGTCAATGTTAATACAACAAGAGGTTCAGACCCCAGGTTAATGACGTGCAGTTAGATGTGGATGGCTCCTTCAAGAAGGGCATATCTCAATGTAGAGGAGTTATTAGAGATAGCAATGCGAATTGGGTTATCAGATACAATTCTACAGTGAGTAATTATCTAATAATTCATATATTTTACACACTTTCACCTCCTTATTTTATTTTTTTAGCACTTTTTTGATATAATTTGAAATAAGTGGGTAATATTTGTGGTAAAAGGGCAAAAAAAAAATTTAAGGAATTTTTGAAATTCATTGCATATTTTTTCAGATTCTATAAAATATTATTTTTAATTTTCTAAAATTCATTTTCTATTGATTTTATTACTTTATTTGTAGATGGCTAATTGGAGAAGAAAAGAAGCAAGAGAATAAATTGGAAATTTTCCTTTCTCCCATTTTCTTATCTTATTCTCCTTCCTTAGTTGGTTTTTCCTAATTTTTTCCCCATTTATTTTCAACCATTTTCCATAAATTTCTCTATTTGAAAAAAAACAAACAAACAACTCATGTTTCTTGATTTAACCAAGTCACGTGCACCCATTGCCATCAATTTTTCATTGATTCTATTGAATAAAATTGAACACACACTAACGTTCAGAAGGAGGGGAGCGAATTCATTCATTCACTTATGCACACAATTTGATTTTTTCCACCGAATAAACACTGGACAGGCACAATCACTCAGATTCATTCGTCAACTTCCTCGGTCTCTCCGTATCTTTCCCATTCTCTCGGACCTCATCTTCTCCTCTCAAGTCCAGCTTCGTCTATCTCATCTCTCCCTCCCATTTTCTGCAATTTGTCTCATCAAATCAAAATCAAAACCCATCATTCTCTTCTCTCCTCCTTCCCCCACAAAACCTCCACATTTGTTCATCCATTCTTTCTCCTTTAGCTTGTCTGATATCCTCTACCCTTAGTTGCTGCCATGGATGTGCTTTTGACGCTGTTTGGTGGTGCTTTGGAGATGGATTTCCGTGGCGAAAAAGCTCTTGATTCCTAGGAGAAGGATGGAAGAAGCTTGAATTCAAGGGAGCTACGCATTTGCTAAGCTTTTACATTCTAGTTTCCTCTTATGCTCTGTTTGGATATATAAATATATATGAATATGAATTTAGATTTGAGTCAAATTTATTATTTAAGTAATTAAAAATATGTGCCAAATTCAAGTTTTATTTAATTTTTTTGTAATTTAAAATTCTTTTTAAACTCATATTATTACAAATCCTAACTTAATTTCTTTTGTCATTTGATAAAAATTCATGAAAGTTTGGTGCGAATTGCCGCTTCTTAGTAACTAGTATTAGAAAATTTTAGAAATTGACTCACCACACTTATTGCAAAAGAAATATCAGGATGAGTAATAATAGAGGGATAATTGAGCTTTCTGAACACTCTTTAGTATTTCTATGGATTTGAAAGAGGCTCCCCCTATTCTAGTAGTATTTTGCATTTGAATCCATGGGAGTGTCAATAGGTCTACAATCCATCATCCCTGCTTCCTTCAAGATGTCAAGAGCATATTTTCACTGTGATATTGCAATTCTAGCTATAGATTGAGCAACCTCAATAATCAGGAAATACTTGAACTTACCCAAATCCTTTGTTTGAAAGGATAATCATTAAGTGTTGTTTAAGCTTAGTAAGCCCGTCTAGATCATTGCCTGTAATAATAATATCATCAATATAGATCACAAAAAAAAGCACTGACTAGGTGGTGAATGGCAATAGAACAT